ATGATTAGTGGAGTGTTTATTGAGGTCAGCTCGCGTTTGAGAGAAGCCGTTTCCGTGGCGCTCAGTGCGTTACCACTACTCTCGCACTCGTAAAAGGGATGTCTAAAGCATCTTAAAAAAGAGGATAGATGTTCTAGTATTTTAACGGGACTACTTGATGGTTTTGTCATGCAGGTACATTTCCGCTGCAGGACCAATCACCAGCAGGATGCCGGACATCCCCCTTGACGACCCGTTCCACTTTTGAACACACGGACGTTGCACTCAGTTAGAGTTAACTCATTTGAATACAACCAGCTTAACAGAAAGAAATCGTATGTGACGACTTTCTCTGCTCTGATAGTCGACAAATGCTCTGCAGTGACAAGTCACCGTTGCCTATCCATGCGTTGCAGCTAAGTAAGAAGAAAATATAAATTATGAACTTATTAGTTAAGAAATCCTTCGTGTCAGTAAAAAATAGCACAATGAAAAATAGCACACTGAAGCTGAAACAAGATCGTCCGTTTTAGAGCTGCCAAAATCGCCAAAGGATTACGGTGGATTTGGATACTGTAGGCAAGAAATAAAGCGAACGTACCGGGAGGCTCGCTGGGTTGATAACAAAGTTGATGTTTTAGGGCATTATATTCTCGTAGATATCTGACGATTGATTTGGCTATACTTGCCTCTTCGATTGTCTGAATGGTAATAGTAATCATGAAAGATACAGGAGTAACTTTTGCCAGATCAGTTTCAAACTCAATAAACGGCATACAAGTCACCTTATCAGAGGTCAACTTTCGTTGATAAAATCGGATGTTTCAGTCGCTGTGTCATTATAGAACTAGGGCAGGGCGCCATCGTTGTGCTAATCACACGGGGAGTACTACTTGACCGCGGGGAGGGGGGTCGCATTTGGTCTGAGAAAAATTTTTTGAAAGATGATTTCTCTTGTTTTCACGGCGCGCTATGAAGGGCAGGGGCTCGTATTTGTTTTGAAACGGAATTTTCGGCCGTAGCGGAAGATTTTTTCCCGGTTGTTGACTTTTTGTGCTTCTTCCTCTTTCACTGGTTTTCATAACCCCTCTCCCCTCCGTTGCTCGACACCAAAATTTTGGGGAAAACTAGAAATATTCTGGTAAATGCTGGAAAAAAAACTGGAAAAAGTGGTAGGAAGATGGGGAAATCTAGGAAAGTGGTAGGTAGGATGGGTAGGGGTCGTACTTTGCACGATTCTATCACTACGCGATGGCGTGCCCTGACTAGGGCTCATCCAGTAGAAAGCGTTTGCGCAAGAAAAGTCTGGTGTCCTAGAAGTTTTTTATTTATTTACGTGGGTAGATAAGGGTTTAGATCAATTTTTTGATGAGCCATGAGGACCTCACCCGTGGGTACCCCGGCACTGATGGCAATTCGTGACCCCTCTTCATTCACTTGCTGATTTGACTCACCTTCTTGGCTTTGTTCACCTTGCGCTGGTAGATCTCACTCATTGGATCCGTATGCATCAGATCTGAATTGAAGGTTCAATTACGCAGAAGAGAATGAAATATTGAGGGGAGCACATTTCCCTGAGTTGAAAAATACGGTTGTTCAGCTCAACGTCAGTTTCCGCGATCAAGTGGTCCGCGAAATGCATCCGTGTATTTGGCATCGTTGTCTGCATTCGCAAGAATGTACCACTTTCGTCACTCGAAACGGCGAGATAAAGAGACTAGAGACGCGTGATTATTGCAACCATTGCAACCACGATTACTTTCACTCTGCAAGACCACGGCTTACAGGCGGACTTGCACGCGTCGCCGTTGTCTGGAGCGTTGTAGGGCGATTTCATGTGCTCCTACCGGGAAGTGGTTGCACGCAGAATCCTGCTGATTGGGCTTGTTCTCATGATGAACTCATTCAAGGCTCCGGCCCCACTGCTGAGAGGTGTTCAGGGTGTTCGCGAGGTTTTTTTCAACTTCTTTCTGGGGAGTTATTTATGGGATAGTGTTCATGATTGAGCACCTACTTAATCCTTGGTCGCGGGAATTGTCTTTAACTCTCCGCCGAAGCAGAGGGAAACGCTTAGAAAGTAAGATAGTAACACTTAAAGGCAGATTTCGCGAAGAGCCGGCGAATAAAACGTACGTAACGTGGTTCAGAAACAGAATTGTGTGCGCTAGTTGACTCGCTCGTAAAAGGAAAAAAGAAAGGAAACGTCGAGAAGGCTCCAAGTAAGGCCCCTCTCGTGCCACGCGAAAGACAAGCAATCAAGCCATTGTATATCGGAAGAGGCCAGAGAAAGAGCGAGAGAGCATGTAAACGAAGAAGAATCTAGATAAGACATCTATCAACCCGGGCGGAGTCACTTGAGCAATTTTGTGCCTCATCTCCGCTACTTTAGCACTTTATACAGGGTTGCTCGCTGTTGTTCACAATACCCGTCCAGATGAAGAGTTCAGTTAATTATAGGTGATCGTGGGCGTTGCCTTCAATTTTGACTTAAGCATATGCCTATGAAGACGGCGACCTGGACAAGACGTCAGGCTATCGAATAAAAGTTCTATCCAGCAACCTCCTTAGCGCTCAGGAAAAACATCTAGGACAGATAGCAGCGCCAAGATTTTAGAAGAGAGGAATTTTAAACTCGGGAGAGTATTCGGAAAAAAGCACTGAATGGAGGATGTCTCGACTCGAAATCCATGAGATCGTGTAGGCGTGGCTGCGTACTTGATTTTAAAATGGTGGCGGCCCAGGTTTTCGTGAGATATTGTCATTTTGGAGCAGTCGTAATCATGTCTACATCTAACACAGAACAAGATAGCAGTTGTTTCAAATTGAAGTATCCCACGAGTAACCCGTCCTATGCCATGCTTAAAAGCCTACTCCGTCAAAGATAAGGAGTGCATGACATGTCAGCATGAATGAATATCGTACCTTGCACGAACATGGTATCTTCGCTTTGGCTAACCAACTGGCTCTCGAGGACCAACGTTTCAAATCTCTGAAACTTTCGACTGTGCGGAGATTCTAAAGGTCATTCATTAAATATGAAAGCCATAATAAGACCTGTATAAAAAAGTCGAAGGTGAGCATGTTCTCGTCGGGGAGTTGAGTGGTGAGCAGCCGTATCGTATTGACAATGATTGGACGATCCATAATGCAAGAGTCAAATTGTGACTCAAAGCAAAAGCACATCATCTGAAAGTGATAGGGTCACTGTTGCATAAACCTAATGTTTTCATAGTAGTGGGAAAACTGGGAGAAGTCTGGGCACTATTCAATTATTACTACCCAGTTTTCCGGAAACAGACCAGATTTTGATCGACTTTTTTTCTAAGGGAGCAGATTCGGCTGAGAATTCGGTTCAAGGGGTAATACAACACAACATATACTAAATCCCTGAGTGGGTAGGTTGGGGCATACGATCGACTGTACGGAAGTGGTTACTAGTGGGATATTCCAGTCTGGGACAACTGTCATCTTGTTCTGCGTTGGACAGAGAGCCGACAACAATTGTGTCGAGATGAAAAGTTTAGGGGATCAGAGCGTAAAGCCTTAAGCGGATAAGTTTGAAAACATGGGGCCACGCCTACCCGACTCCAGAGATCTTGCCAGCTGTACCTCCTGAACACAGAAATTGCGATCCCTTGTCTGAAGTGCCTGACGCCTACGCCAAGAACCCCTAGATTGCCAAAGCTGCTGAAAACTGAACCACAGGAATAACCTGTGGTTCAGTTTGACCTGTGAAAACGATCATACTATTCGTCTGGCACGAAAGTGCCTGGCTCCCGCGCTACAGGCGTCGGTGCCAAAATACCATAAGTCACCAAATCCGTGAAAACTTGTACACGGGGGTTAGTTGACATCCTGATTACAAATATGACATTCATTTTTGGCGCTGGCGCTGATGGAAGACACTACGATCATCTGCGCTCTGCTAAGGCTGAGCCTGACCTAAAGGGAATCACTCCTTTTCCAGGCTCAGCCTTAGAAGAGCACTAAATGGCGCTGGTGTCAAAAATTGAATGCCATACACGTGATCAGGGCATCAAACGACTATTACGCAGGTTTTTACGATCTTGATGTAAAAGAGTGCGGCGCCAAAACTGCGGCTAATGGCGCCATATGGCGCCGGGGCTAAAAATGAATGTCATGTTCGTGATCAGGGTATCGAATAAGCCCAGTATGCAAGTCTGCACCGCCAAATGGCGCCGGCGTCAGAAACGAATATCACACTCGTGATCAAGACATCTAATAACTTTTATTGGCAAACTTTAAGTAAAAATTTTTTCTGAGTTTTTGTGGTAGTAATGCTTGAATAGTGCCGAAAACTGGTCACCTTCCTTAACACGGTTCCGCTAAGCTTTTTCAGACTCAGTAGGGTTTTCTATCGAAGGCGAATCTCACCTTCAGCGTTTGTGTCGGTAGTGCTCTGAGAGCAATTATGGCTCGTTGAGCTACTGTAGGATTGGGATCATGGATCGATGTGACGAAGTGGTAGAACAGCGCAGAAAGAGCCGTTTGAAGCACCTGAATATTATAAGACCTTGTAATGGGACAGGTATTAAGAGTCAGAGGTAATGCAATGGCAAGTGGCCCAGGTGGCCCGCTACTATGCACTCGAGGCGGGGGTCAAATCCTGAATTGTCCCACCCCGTCCTAATCCTTCTGTCATTAGGGCAAATCAAACCAGACTTGCCTGGGAGGATAAAAACGCTGGCTAGCACAGGGGTTAGCCCCGCAAGTCATCGGATTCAGTAAGCCACCACGATCCTAACCGAATGAAGCTTCCTAAACGGGACTGCCAATGGCTGCCGGCAATCCCAAAAGTGGCTTTTAGGAAGCTTATATTTTTAAATTTTTTCAAAAAAAAAAGGCGGCCTTACCTCGTGGAAAGATCGTCAACTGATTCTGTCAAACGCCATGCATTTCAAAACTGAATTTTATTGAATATCGAACAGTCATAGAATATTGTGTGTACATCGCCCTGCTTCAGCGTGCGCATGTATCGCGCCGTCTCTGCGGAAAGGGATTTCCTCATGCAATGCGAGCAATGGGTGAGTTGACATACCTGGACTGTGGCTAGTTGACGGAGAATCAGGCACGACGAGCCTACCATTGACCAGAAAGGAGTGCAATCTTCACAACAAACCGCATGTGGAACGATGTGAATGCGCGCGGAAACTAGCTACAATTTATCAGCTGATCTAACATACTGTAAGAGAGGGTGTCGCTCACCATTGGGAGAGCCCTCCTACCTTTATACGGCATCCTTCTCACTTCGGGTCTCCTTCTGGTTGCCGACGGTTTGCGTGAAACTAACGACTAGAGAGAGAGAGAGAGGAGAAGGTCAGAGTGCGTTGCGCATGACTCATCTCACCGACAATACTTAAGGTTCGCGCTGAACGCCAACGAGAGATCTGCCGAGATGCCAACCAGGACGACCGCTGCCTGCTCCGACGTCACCTCTGGGCTCGCTGATTCCTTGCCGCGCTGTCAACTCAACTCCGTCATCATTGGTCTGTCATCTACTTCGACTGCGACGATTCCCGATTCCATCTGATTGCCTTATTGAGCTAATAAATATGATACACTGATGGGCTGTACTGAATACTTCGGGGTTCGCGAGCGGCAAGCTCGCACCTATCACTGGTAGCAGCGAGTCTCGACCGAGGAGCAGGTGAGTCCCCTTTTTCTGGCCCTGTTGGGTCTTCTCGAGAAAATGAGCCTGATCGTAACGTCTTTGCTTGGGATAATACATTAGGGGGACATAGAACTTCAATCCGGCAGTTTTCTTCATGCTTTCGCTAGATAGTAGTTACGCTTCAGTTGCTTGTGCTTGTGTTTTTTTTTCCTTTTTTACATTGAAGTGGGTTAGAAAATGCCGCGTCTGAGTTCGACGTAACGATAACTAGCGTAGATCAAATCGATCTTCGACATGCGATGTTTAA